TTCCTCTGAGTCCTTAGAATTAATTACTTAGATAGATTTTTCACAATCTAGCCATAATATTTAATTGATACCACACAATGTCACTTGTAATTATGAAAGCAGCATAGTTAAAGTTTCAATCAAAATTTTAGATGTTTTAAAAAGAATTTGCACATCCAAAAGCCCAACCGTTACTCTTTATGTGATCACTAGCATTTTGTTGCCGCATGTGTTAGAGTAATCATAATGTTTGCAATCTGGTATTGTAGGAGACGAACATGTGCAACTGGTAAAAAGATGTATATGCAGCAAAATGTGGGGGTTAACTTCATACATGATAGAACCCCAGATTATGCTGTGTTTTTGTCTTTCAGCAGTCATGATCAGAATTTTGTTATTGACCTCGTGTGGCCAAAACTAGAGTCTAAACTTAAGCATTTGCTTCAAAAGGGGAACAAGATAGTGTTTGTTGGGGATGCTAAATTTGACCTGGGACGGCAGATTTGCGAGGAGGGCATTTGCGCTGCAACTCGTTGCTGGTGTACGGTTCTAATAATATCGAACAGTTTTCTGGAAAGTGACTGGTGTTTATTTGAAGTCCAGTCTGCCTGGAATAGCGGATGTTGAATTTGTCCTCTTTTTATTGAGAAATGCGATGGATGGAAGGCAAAGGGAATAATGAAAGTTGTATGTCGGGATATGGTAAGGCTACTATGGCCCAGAGACAGAGCTGATCTGAAAGAACAACTTTTTGATTCACTGTGTTCACAGATCGTGCAACATATCAAGTTACATGATAAATCAGGCTAATATGAATGTAAAAATTACGCAATTATGAGCATGGAAATATTACATAAACTAAGTTAGTAGTCGCGATAAAATCATGATTCTTAGTTTTTTCGTAATTTTAAAACGTGTTAATCAAATTTTCAGAATTAATGACGTTAAGGTTCATCTCGTTCGCTCAAAACAAAATTATGGAGGTTTTTTTTTTTACATTTTATTCCTGAGAGCGTTGTGTAACGCAGTAAAGTTTCAAATGTCGACATGATGTTTGTCATGATTAAAGTATGTATATGTATATGTATATGTATATGTATATGTATATGCATATATATATATATATATATATATATATATATGTATATATATGTATATGTATATGTATATGTATATGTATATGCATATATATATATATATATATATATATATATATATATTAACCGATGGTAACTTGAAAATCAAGAAACAAATTTGCAATATTGAAACAAGTTTCAAAATCTGTTAGCAAAAATTTTCCCCAAGTACTTGCTAGAACCATTGTTATCGATTAAAATCACATTATATTACGCAGGAAAAAGATTATTAATTCCTAACACCAGAAAGGAACTACTTGTGTTTTAATGTGTGTCTCTTGCATGCTTTGATAATATTTCTTAATTTTTCTTGACTCTTTTCAACTTGCCGTTCTATTATTTGTTTGCCTATCTGCTTTATCATAGTTTACATGTGTCTGTGGTTATTAAATTGAATTGCATGATTTACTGTCGCTCTTAAAATGTGTTATCGATTTTCAGACGTTATGATTTTATGAATCCTGTATAAATATGAAGTTCAGTTCTTAAACAATGATGAAATAATGCACCATTGTGCAGAAGAAAAAACACAAATATTCTTATACTGAATATATATATATATATATATATATATATATATATATATATATATATATATATATATATATATATATATATCCGGAACTAATAGAAAGAATGACATTTCTTTAGTAAATATTAAGGTGTGAAGATGCTTGAAAAAGATCATCTTTTTGAAACTAAACTTTATCAGCAGATGATAAATATTTCAAGGTAAATATGCCAACGTTTTTATTTGTTTTGTAAAAGAGACAAAGATATTTCTATATTTACATGGCTATATTTTAACAATATTTAACCTTGGTAAGACTAATTGCGTTTACATTTGGCCCGATTTTAGCAATGTTTAAATTTCACGCGACTGTTACAATGTTTTAACTGCCCAGATTGTAAAAATACTTCGATATGTCCAGATTAACTGACTGATTGAATTTAATTAAGGAGCAACACTTTGGAAACAATCAGTTGTTTTATTATGTTCTTCATCATCTGTGTTTCACTAAGTTCGAAACAAAGTTTGAAAATTGGAAACCTTACACGATCGAGATAGAATAGTAAGATAATTTTGTGTATATTTTCAGACAATCCTTGGCTTGTAAATATATTTTCATATAATTTTATTATTACTTTGATTAGAAAGTTCAAGGATATAATCAGGCAGAGAGAATCTGGTATACAGCAACATTATGACTTACTCACATGCATACACACGTACATACATAAATATATCCATCCATGCAGGCAGGCAGGCATCCACATACAAGCTTAATGCTTAGCATAGATATCCATGTAAAGACATGTCAAATTCCTTGACGAAGTCTAAGAACACTGTAATAATGCCTCAATTGTCGCATTCCACACAGGATAACAAATGTACGTGACTGTAATTATATTATATTTTTCATTCACTTTTCTACATATTTTCCTTTTTTCATTTTTCTCCTCATTACTATATTCAATTTATTTGTAATACGTTTTCTACGTCTTTGCAATATAGTCGTGTATCTGTATTATGATAGGTCTTTGGCCTACATTATCAATAAGCTCTTTTTATTGTTCTTGTCAAAATACATTTATACTTATTTGCTTACATTTCTATTCAGTGTTTGAATTTATTGTACACTCTACAGTTATTTTGTATTTCTTCATTTGTTTATTATATTTTTGGTCTGTTTGAGAATTATTTACATCATTCAAGGCATTTTGAATCTCCTTTGCGTGCCAAAAGATATTCCTTTCAGGTGTTGAAAAGCAGTCACAGATGACTACTAATTTTCTATATGGTTATGCAGTAGAGTACTAAACGTAGCCCAAATGTTGCTTTCGGCCACTTATATCATATTCTGATATTATTGGCTGTGACGGAGAAAATAAAAAAACCCACATAGCTCAAAAATCAGTGGTGGACAGTCAGGTCTCATTTCATATGGGAGTTCAATAATCCGTTAGGTTATAAGTGCTCAATTCGGAGATGGAAATGTTTATCCGTTGAGCATGAGAATTCATCAATAAGTGACAAAATCTAAACAGACAAAAAGAAAGAAAGAAAATCAAAATAGATATAACCAGCTATATTCTAATTTTTGCATGCTCTATATTCATAGCATATCAAAAGTCTCTGATGCAGTGGATGGATAGAAGATAGATTTGTCTTGCCTTCTGGGTACAAGGAATAGTCTATATAACTGAATCCATTCATTGCGAGCGTCACGAAATCCGGAATATCAAAGGGTAAGATCGTCTTTCAATAAACTTACTGGTGTATGTTTGCCATCACGGCTTGCAAAGTCAGAAAATAATTACAAAATGTTGTAGAAAATAAAGTGTTGTTTTGCCGACATTTGATTCCACTACGAACGCAGAATAAAAAACATAAAACTCTTACATTATTTTCTCTCTTATAATAGAGTCCACTGTAAAAAGCACCGACCCAGATCTGCCGTTGCATAATACGCTGGCAGACATGTGTCTGTGTAGTTTATTTAAAACAAACAATGGAACAAACATCACTGTCACTGATATGCATTATCACTATGCTCCAGTCAATCAGGATCTTTGCTGTTTGCAGTTTGGGTTGACTTATAAGAGAGGTGATATGGTATATTGTAATGGTTTGCTGTTATTGTTTTTGAGTTTACTGGTTTATCTCTTTTTTGATCGTTTCTGACCCTTGAATCGTTGAAAGTACACTTATTCTCCGTCAGTATGTCCTTACACTGTTTCAATTTTGGGAGTGACATACATCAAAGTAGTAAGTTGAATAAATAAGTTAAAATATATGTTTGCATAGGAGAAACAATATACTTTTAACCACGAAGCAAAATTTTCCTCGTTCGAAGCACTTAATAAACAATTCGGTTCTATCAGTGGTCATTTGATCTGGATAACCATCAGATTTGCGAGTTGAAAAACCATTGGCTTTACCTGAATATAATTATAAAACTAGTGCTTATATGCAATATTGGTTTAGCATCGAGTTTCTCACTTACCTTTTAGCTTTGTTCTAAGAAATAGCTTGTTTAGTCATAATGAGTTTCTGACGTATAGCTTGGTTTGTCATTATGAGTATTTACACTTAAATTTCAGGAGAATTCAAGGATATAGCTTGTTTTCTTATTATGATTTCTCGTTTAACTTTCAGCCGGGTTCAACTATTTAACTTATTTTAGCAATGATCTTCCAGCAGAGTCCAAGTTCTGCTTTCATACATCCTCATAAATATAATGCTTAATAAGAATTTCTCTCCGTGCGGAACAGTAGTGCCTTGATTTTTAACTTTAAAATGGACGAAGGTACTTAGCAAAATAAATTTGTTCGTCTGCACCGATCACTTTTGACAGTTTTGATACGACTTCAAATAGAACGTTGAGTATCATCCCTGTATCATAATGGATTAGCCATTTATTTCTTTCGAAAACAAGTGACCTAAATGCTTAGAGCTGTAAAAAAGTCCTTGTGGCGGCTCAATGTCCTCAAAGCATTCTAGTTCAGTCTTAAACAGACTCATGAAAATTACAGAGACCTGAGTAAATGGAAACATCGTTTGTATAGCTCTCTTCAAAATAAGCATGGTAATGTTTAACTCTATCCCACCCTGCTCCTTCTCTCTATAGAATTACAGACACGAGTCCTAATAATATAAGTTCTGAATATACTTTATTGGAAATCCAAATTTAGTCTAACATCAAGGTGTTGATGTGCCTGTAGCGGTAAGCATTGTGTTTTTCCACTCAGTCTATATAGTCTTGTACTTTACTTATGTCACAATTAGACTATTTCTAACATGATCATTACCTAAAGGAAAATTACCTTCTGGAAGCTCCATGATGTTTACAAAATAAATTTCTTAGTTTGTTTTTACTAACCGGTCCAGTGTTCTAGTGGTTAGAGCGTCCACCTCGGACGCGGGAGGTCTTGGGTTCGATCCCCGGGCGAGTCATACCAAAGACTTACAAAAATGGTACTAACAGCTGCCTCGCTTGACGCTAAGCATTAAGAGGTCAGTGTTAAGACTGGTCGGCCTGGTGTCAAGATAATATGACTGGGTGGGACATCATGTTACATGTCTGCGGCATGATGCCCCATTGCTAGACATCACTATAAACAAGACTGCAGACATTGTAGCAATATGACTGAAAAATTGATAAAGCTACTTTAAAAATCATAAACATAATAACATCCAGTCTGTTGCTAAAATTATAATACATCACTTGTACTATGCTAGCTACACCTGGTAAATTGTACGTTAGTCCCAGTAACCTAAACAGAGACACAGACACAAATAAACATGTTTACTTATATTACTAATCATCTTGATATTAACTCCATTAACACAGAGAACATTTTAGCTATGTATTAAATAATTAGAGGAATGAAAACTTAATTCAGATCAAGAAGAAAACAAATGATTTTGGAACAAGTTAGATTCAAAATGCAATATTAATTTAAAATTGGATATAATGAAATTAAAAAAGAAGAAAAAAAAAACTAGAGAACAAACAAACAATAGAAGTGATCCTACCATTGCAGATGTGAGATATATTGTCCGTAACAAGAATTAATGCACCAACACAACTTTTTGTCCCGATGAAAGCAAAACTTAAGATCAGGCACCTGTCCAGCGGAATCTATTTTTCCTATAATGTCATAGTCTTCGTTATCTCCAAGGTACATCTGATGATAATACATACAGCCAAGCCACACTACCCATCATCTGTAAAAGCATCATTCTATAAATAAAAAAATTGCTTAAATCAGTTAACATTTGTGGCTGTTTGTCTCTATTGCTTTATGTTCTAATGGTCATAGACGTATCATTTGACCTATTGTCCGCTCTGTGACTGTCCGTTGGAAAGGTCTTTATCTACTGCAACGATTGTGATGATGCTATGCATCCATTATCATTTTTTGTTTTAACCAAACTACTTCTTACGAGGTATAGTTGATTCTCAATGAAAATGACGAAACCGGAACATTCAGTCTAGCCGCCACAAGAACCATTTTTACAATATTGTTGTTGCTACTTCTGCTGAATGTAAAGTTTTGTGGACGTACTGTTGCATCACAAGTCTTCTACTGATTTTTTGATGGGACTAATTGAAATTGCTATCATGTGGACATCCCGTATGGCCAATATAACTGCTTGATTGACAATCCCCATATCGTTTCTCAGGACTATAATGTTCATTTACAAGCAGTTTTCACTAAAACAAGCTTCAATGACTGTTTTGTATTAAATGAAAATAGTGATGACTGGAAGTCCAGTATTGACACCAGAGCACGCATCTTGAACATGTTTTTCTAGAGAGATAGGCTGTACATTAAGGTCTGTATAACTGTTGGAGGAAGATCCAGAGAAACCCATGGTAAGAACCAACGACCCAATGGAAGCTACTGGCAGCTTTTTCAAACACCCATGTTAGCCGAGCCCGTGACTCGAGCCCCACGCGGACAAATTTGAGATAGTAGTGATTTGTAAAGAAATCAGTGCTATCGAATTCTAGGTTTACAAACATTACTGTCACCTTAGAGAAAAAATTCAATAAAAGAGCTAAATTAGAAGAATAAGCGATGGTCCATTAATTGTTCTTGGTATTGTTATTATTATTTCAAACACGTGGATCAACAGTGATAAATAATTCAAGATCATGATGGACATGCCCAAAACAAACAAATAATTCTAATTGACGTGATACAAAATAAACTGCTATTGAACATATTTTTACAGAGGTAAACCATAATTGAGTAGCTATTCGGTTTGAATTTTAGATCAAAAGGCTGTATTTTAACTGATGTTTCGCACATGTAAGGCAACTGAAATGAAGTCATTTATTCAGTAAACTATATGTGATACTTTAAGTCTATACCTAGAGTTAACAAGAAAAGACGATATAACAGCAGTGTGGCTTATCACAGACCTTGTTATTGTGACATCAATTTACAACACACCTACTTTGGTGGTTACATGCATATTTCTTGAATAAATGGATACATATATAAAAGTCAATCATCAGTTTAAAGAGGAGATATTTCAGTATAACACGTTTAATATTTCATTATAGAAATTACAAGATTTGTGTCATAACGTAATTGGAAAGCATAATATAATGTATGAGTTTCCAAATTCGACCAGAGAGAAATGGGTTTACTTGCAAATTAACGTATCCTTTTCCACCATTCAAACGGAAGATATATGTTGTTAGTTTGCACCATGAATACATTACATTTTGTTCTTAGAAATGTATTATTTTCAAAATGGTATTGGCAAATCATTGAATTATGAAAGACAGTTGAGGCTCGGTTAAAATCCACACATTAATCATATAAATTTACCTCCTTAATAGGCAAGACGTATATCCACTTTTCCTGCCCTATGAAATGCTAAACTTTATCCGTCATATTTAATTTAGTGAATACCTTATAGGCGGCCACTCTGCACAAGATAATGCATGGCATTACGAAAATTTTGGAATGCGTTTCATTGGCAACCAGGATGTGAATACACAACTTGCGTCAGAAATCAAAGTAAATTATATTATAATTGTAATATATATCATAATAGGAAAATAGGATATTGGCAAGAAAAGGACCCTCAATTGAGTATAAATAATTAATTTGATATTAATAACTGTCATGAAATAGCCAAGCATCTGATCTAGCAAAGAATAAATGACTGCAACGAAAATGTCAAATTTAGCAATATAATCCTATAATTTAGGAACGGTGTGTGTGAGTGAGTGTGTGTGTGTGTGTGTTGTATTGTGTATCTCTGTGTGTGACTTGGATTTTTAATGTTGCTTTAACAATGTTTCAGTCATATATCAAAGCTGAGACAACCTCATAATGCCAGGAGGTAGTATATGCTCTTAATGCAACCAGTACAGGGGCCTGCCTGGGTAGATCAGGATATTTAGGGAAAATAGTGTGTAAACATTAATCAGAATGAACAGACTGGTTTTCGGACCATTGCAGATTGTATTATATGCTAGATCATCAACAGTCCCCACTAGAGGGTGAAGTTCCAAGCTTTAAACTGTTTATTTGGTATATATATATATATATATATATATATATATATATATATATATATATATATATATATATATATATATATATATATATCTTTGTGTTTGTGTCTGTCTGTGTTTGCAGCATGTTTTTTTCTGTTTTCAATTTTAGTGGTTTTTGTTTTATATGCAATCATTTCATTATATATGTTTTTATTTTTTTTAAACGTAGTCAAATGTAAGGCGCTTAGAGCTTCTAAAGATTAGGCGCTATATAAAGTCCTCATATATATAATTATGAACTGATGCTTGTCATGTCATATGTATTATAGTCATGTATACACTCTCGTGTTTTATGACTTTAAGCCCTGATAATGGCTAGTGGCCTTTTTCCCTTCCGGGGCCGGGCTCACCCGTGTCTCAGTGCTAGACACTTTTGCCGCGGCGCGTGGGCCTATTAACCCCCCTGGTGGCTCACCGCCTTGGCCGGATGTTACCTTTCGGTAACATTGCTATCCAGGGAGGCGCTTAGCCCTAGGGCTGGGCTTTTGGTCGTGGTCCTGACCTTTATTTGCTAACCTTAAGACCCTTTGGTTGGCTGCGTATTGTAACAGAGCGTACCGGCCTTCGGCCCCAACTCCCGCCTACTAAAGTCCCCAATGTCTAAGTTCACCTAACTTTATCTCAGGTGGATTATTGTCAAATTTAACCAGTTTTACCTACGGGTGTCCCTATACCAATGATGTGTTAGCCACCTATTCAATTATCCAAATTTTCCTGAGTTGTAAATTTTGAATATATTTTGATGACGTTGAATTTTGCGTACTTAGAGTACTTATATGGTTCTAAAAAAGATAACTCAATCTCTAGGTGTATGTCACCTAATTTTTACATTTAGCACCGCCTTGACAATGCTTGCTTTTTAATTTTGTCTGCCTTTCCAAAGGATCTCGTTTTAATGTTGGGTCTTCCAGGCCAAATTGAAGACATAGGTTGTAGACTTTTTTCGAACAGTTGGCCGCGCGGTCCAGACTGTCCATTGCTAATTGTTGGTCCGTTCCGTTCACTTTTGTGATTGTAGCCTTTACCAGGTTACTTTTCGGTCTTTGTGTGCTCCGGCTGATCGGTCTACTCCGCTCCTGGGAGTTAGGGCTATCAGCTGGGAGGTTCCTGATTTTCCCTTATCGGCCTTGACCTTTTTGTCCTTGTCATGGTGGGAAATCTTATCCTATATATATATATATATATATATATATATATATATATATATATATATATATATATATATATATATATATATATATATATATATATAGTGCTTATAGGAGTCAGGATCCACCCAGGCTTGTGCTAGTATGAGTCCTAGCGCCTGTTTTATGGTATGTAATAGGTATGGTGCTTGCAGTTATGTATATGTTTGTATGCGGGGATGGGTTATTAGGGTTCCGATACAGGCTTATTGAATCCCTTTATTTGATACTGATAATTTTTTCTTGTTGATGGTTTGTTGTAGGCATCTCTTTTGATGTTGGTTCCCCTCCTCCCTCCTATGAGGTCCTGAATTCTTTCTTCTTTATTCTTGCATTTTTGACTTAGTAACACCGGATGATTCAAAATTATAAGGTTGTTGTCTCGTCGGTTTTGATTGGATGATAAAAGCCGAATTTTCAATCCTATTCGAGGTCAATTTTGTTTTCTATTTAGGTTTTATAATAAAATTATGTTTATGGTATTTCATTCTTATTATGTGCTTAGTTGTAGTATTATAGATGGTCATCAATATTAATTAGAGTATATATAGTTATTATAAGGAGAATTAAAATACACAGACAGTACATGTATGTTATAAATAGTTATGATTATTGTTATGATTTAATTATTTATGCTTATAACTAAGGCTATATTGACTAAATTTAAGGAGTAATAATTGCTA